AGCAAAGGGTCTGAATACTTATGACCATGTGATATTTCAGTTTTTCTTTTTTAATAAATCTGCAAAAATGTCAAACATTCTGTGTTTTTCTGTCAATATGGGGTGCTGTGTGTACATTAATGAGGAAAAAAAGAACTTAAATGATTTTAGCATATGGCTGCAATATAACAAAGAGTGAAAAATTTAAGGGGGTCTGAATACTTTCCGTACCCACTGTATAACAGTGTGCATTTAGAGCACAACAGGACAAAAGTAGGCATATAATAACAAGGTGAAAAAGAACCAAACAGGTGAGAACAAAGAAAAGAAAATACAAAGAGCTAAGGCTAGCATAGCTTAGCATGAAGACAAAACGGGTGGAAACGTTAGCATAGCTTAGCATGAAGACAAAACGGGTGGAAACGTTACCATGGCTTAGCATGAAGACTTCAAACAGGTGGGAATGTTAGCATAGCTTAGCATGAAGACAAAACGGGTGGAAACGTTAGCATAGCTTAGCATGAAGATTTCAAACAGGTGGGAACGTTAGCATAACAGCATGAAGACAAAACGGGTGGAAACGTTAGCATAGCTTAGCATGAAGACTTCAAACAGGTGGGAACGTTAGCATAGCTTAGCATGAAGACAAAACGGGTGGAAACGTTAGCATAGCTTAGCATGAAGACTTCAAACAGGTGGGAACGTTAGCATAACTTAGCATGAAGACAAAACGGGTGGAAACGTTAGCATAGCTTAGCATGAAGACTTCAAACAGGTGGGAACGATAGCATAACAGCATGAAGACAAAACGGGTGGAAACGTTAGCATAGCTTAGCATGAAGACTTAAAACAGGTGGGAACGTTAGCGTTGCTTAGCACGAGTAAAACTTTATTGTGACAAGGCTTTATGCAAACTTCAGCCATTGAGTGACAGCAACACTGTCCAATCGGGTGTTTAGAATTCCTAGGTGGGCGGGGCTACACTTTACTGAACTTTATTCCCGTGACTGTCATTAAACAGTAAACTCAGTGCTGTTTTATTCTCAGTATTTGTTGGAAATCCAAACCTTTACTTCTCAGATTCCTGATGTTTTCACAAATCACATTCAGTTTTGTTTTCATGGTTTCCACGTCTTCCCAGGAAGAGGGCGCGCGTCTCTGTAGCTATTGAAGTTCAATTATTTGTGGGTTTTATAGCAGAATGTATAATAACAGGTGACTCACTGTTGTCGATGAAAGCCTGTCTCCCCGCCTCTCGGGCTGAGCGCCGTTACTGCGTCGTTCCCTCGGTCTCCTGTTGATTTGACCGCCTGTGGTTTATCTAAACCGCGGTGAGCCTTCGCAGTGTCGGTCAGTCCGGTGCCGCCAGCTGGTTCTGCTCCGGTTCGGTGCCGGTAGGTGGCTCGGCTCAGGTAGATAAAGGTGGTGTTTTGATGATCAAAATGTTTTGTTTTGTTGTCACCGTTTCACACCGGAGGACGGGACCGTGATTGTGTCGCTGCTCTGACCGGTCAAATGTTGTTTTTCATTCACAGTTTCGCGTAAACCCGCTGCTGATCCCGCGTCGTCCTGTTGATTCACGCGTCTCTGTGTCCGTTCATTTCACAGAAACCGTTCATTTCCTCTTCTTCCGAGTTAATGTGTCTGCTTAAATCCTCGCTGCCGTTATTCGGTGTCTGTCGGTTCAGGCTCGGGATGCTCACGGACTTCCAGATGACCTGATGCTCGCGAGCCCGCGGTCTGTCCTTGGATCCCGACGCTCGCTCCCGCGTGCTCACAGACGGAGAAGTGGAGGCGCGCGGCCGCTGGAGCGCGAGCACGAGCCAATCTCTTCGGTGTTTGTGAATAAATGAACCGTCACACCGGTCACATTCAGGCTTCAGGTGTTTACATCCACTGGCACTTATTCATGTAGTTATCAGAGTTTCATACGGAAATAAGAAATGACTTAAATAAATAACACATATGCAAATAAAAAATATAACTAAATAGGCTGCACATAATGTTCACTAACAATGTCTGTGCAGATTCTTAGTCATCCAGGTCATAGTAAGCTGAAAAAAACTTAGTTCAGAACTGATGAAGCCTCTTGGATGAGAGGTGAAACGTCTTCAACCTAGAAATCTAGTTGATTTTTTCTAAGTTTGTTTCAGTTCACTAACAATGTCACCTCAAGGTCAGTTCAGCTGTTCTGAAGAAGCTTGTGAAATGTGAGCAAAGAGTTTTCTGAGTTCTGGGGGCATCACAGGGCAGAGGGCTGGATCAGAATCAGAGTCAGCTCTATTGGCCAGGTGTGTCGGACACACAAGGAATTTGACTGTGGTACATCGGCTCTCAATGTGCATGTACATATCCCCATGCAAGGGCAAGTAAACAGTAAACCAGCATGAGGCTGTGTAATATAACAAAATAAACAGTATTAACAGGCAGTAAACAATGCAGACAGACAATGGAATGCTCATTGTGAAACGAGATAAGTAGGAAAATCTTGCAGTGCTTAAGAACTAGAGACCTGTACGAATCTGTATAATCTGTATGAGGTATATTTACAGGTATTGCACTGAGGGTTATTGTCCAATCATACTGTCATTGGTTAAGTGTTCATCAGAGCGACAGCCTGGGGGAAGAAACTGTCCTTGTGCCTGGTTGTCTTGGTGGACAGTGACCTGTAATGCTGTCCAGAGGGGCGAAGTTCAAACAGATTGTGTGCAGGGTCTGCAATGATCCTCTCCACCCTACTTTTGACCCGTGAGGTGTAGAGGTCCTCCATGGAGGGCAGGCTCACACCAGTGACCTTTTCTGCAGTCCTGACTGTCCGCTGATGGATGGATAGAGAAGGTATTTGGCGGCGGAGTTTTGTGCATGTTGAGCCGTGGTGGTAGGGGGTACTCAGATTGTTAGAAATACCACAGGGTAAAAATACTCTGTTACTTGTATTAATAGCAATGTGGAGCATGTGCAGAGGGTCCTGCTGAGATCAAAACATGTGTGTGTAATAAAAGCAACAGAAGAACAAATCAGCCGTTCACATTCAGCTCTTCTTCTGTGGTTGTTTCTGATTTTAAATCCCATTATTCACAATGTCTAAGCCTAGTATGCAAGGCATGGTTACCACGACAACAGGGATGCAGCTCCAGATCCTTATTGTGGTTGCCACGGAAACAAGCATCTCCAACCTTAATTTGCACACCCCCACCCCCTCTGCTCACCAGATAAAACTTGTAATTAACACACAGTGATGTCACAGGTGTTCACAGACTGAGTCACGTTCCACTTCTACAAATTCACTAAGGCTGCTTCCACGTCTCAGGCCTTAACGCTCAGCTCTGATGTTTTGGTCAGATCTGATGATGTTGTGTTGCTGCTTCCCATCCATGTGTCACTGACATGTGGCTCCGTGTGAACGCCGCTGAGCTCCTAAACTGCCACACATGCACATAACAACAAGGTCATTTGTGCGACAGACATGTTGTATGTGATGGATAGTTATGTCTTCTGATGATTCATGGCACCATAACAACCTGTTGCATCTTGTAACACCTGGACCTTACTGCTGTATGTAAAGTGCCCCGAGAAGATGATTGTTGTGGAGCTCTCGCACTATACAAAAAAAAAAAAAACAAAACAGACTGAGGTAGTGAAAACACAAAATTACAAATACTACATTTTAAGTACATTTCCTTAAGTACAATTCTGTTTTTAATGGCATTGGTAGTTATATTACTAAATTTCTTTTTAGTGCTTAATTTCACGCTTTATAATACGCGTGTACAACAAAGTAAAACAAATATTGCTACACAACCTGCTGCCTGTGAAATGGCGTTTTGTTGTTTCATTAAAACGTCTGGCGGTTCCTACTGCTTGAACAGAACCCAGAACAGGGATGCTGCTCACACCTGGACTGAGACGTCTGCATGTTTACACCTGTGACCCCCGAGTAGAGATGTGTCTAGGTGACATCACTGCATGAGCCTTGCTGCTGAACTCAGCTGTGCACATGAGGTAGGACGCTGTAACCTAGTTGTGGGACGTCTCTGGTGTTCAGGTTCATCACCACAGGGCTTCCTTCTGCTTCCAGGCCACTGAGTCAACACACACACATATAACTGTGTCTGTGAGGACCCTCGGTGACATAATGGATTCCCTCACCCCTTACCCTAAAACTAACCTAAGCCTGGTTCTACCCTCAACCTTGAAACCAGGTATGAACCCTCAAACAGCCCTCTGAAGTTACGAGGAGCAGACATGTCCTCACGGTGTAGAAACATCCTCACTTCCTTTGTGTAAAACTGGTCACATACTCAGTGATGCTCTCTCAGTGTGTTGTACAGTGGACAGAGAGGTGCATGCTGGGAAGCCATTGTAGCCCGCTGTGTCCCCGGGGCGCATGTGCGCTGGGCTGGTGGTACAGTGAGTCATGTCACACAGTATCAGTCATGCAGCAGCCTGCATTCAAGTTGTTACTGAATCAAAAGTACAAACTATTATCACCAAAATAAACCTGAAGTAGCCAAAGTAGCAGTAGTCGTCCTGCACAACGGCCCATTCCAACATTACTGTACGTCATATTACTAGATTATAATGACTGATGCTTTATTGTGTTCATCACTAATGTTGCTGCAGGTTTTTACTGCACAGACCAAGTGATCAAACTGGATTTGAATGTTTGACTGAAGAAAGAAACACTCCAACAATCAACAAGTCTGGATTTATTTCATATGTCACAGTCTCACAGGATGAACATAATGAGCATGTTAAAAGTTTCACACACACACACACACACACACACACACACACACACACACACACCGGTTTAGGCCTCAGACACACTCAGTGTTAACATCTGAGCCTTAAATCACAGAGGGATGCTACAGAAATCCCTTCAGACAACAATGGTTTAGACTGATGCAGCTTCAGTCTGACGGTGATGATGATATTCACAGCTCCCGTCATGTTTACGGCACACGGGTGCTAAAACTAATGACGTTTCACATGTGCATTAATAAATGTCATGAGCTGTGCTGCCCTCTGCAGGAGGAAACTCACTGCTGCAGATCTCAGGTCAGATTCAAACATCAAGAAATAATCCTTCACAAATCAAACCTTCATCCAAATCTTTATTCTTCTGATTTAATTTATAAACTCACAAATAAATACCGATGTAGAGAGAGTGTTCAACACAGTCCATGGTGTGTTTACAGATGCTCTAACATCTGGGAACATTTAGCTTCCAGCTGGCAAACTGAAGATAAAACCGGAAGTAAAGTCCTTGTCTTCTTTGTAAGCGTCTGCTTGTTTTGCATTTTCTTGTTTTAGCCGCTGATTGTTTTAGCCAGGATGTTTTTGTGTGAACCCCAGGACAACCAGCTGTGGAAGCTGCTGAAGAACCAGATGATGTATAAAAAAACATGAGTGCTGTGAGGATAAAAATGGCATTTTATCACATTTTAAAAAAGGTGAAGCCAATCGGCTGCTGCTTTCAAACCTCAGATGTCGGAGCATCCTTGAACGCATCAGCAGGGATACCTTTCCAATCAGTCTCACCTTTCTGCTGCATCAACAGGTAATGACAGAGAATGTAAGCATCCAACCTGTGCCCAGGAGCAGGATGCTCCGTGGTGAAGTCCAACAGACATGTCTTTGTGATGCTACGCGACAAAGACATCTGACATCTGCTGCTTTTCTGCACAGCAGGCACCAGGAAACAGGGGAAGTAACTAAGTACATTTACTCAAGTACTATGCTTAAATACAGTTCTGAGGCACTTATACTTTACTAGAGTGCTTCCATTTCTTGGGCTTCAACTGCACTACATGTGTGATAACTTCATATTCAGATGAATCTAACAAAATACAGCAGAATCAATAGACTTCATTGATTCTCTAGTTTACCACACACTGGCAGTGGTTCTATGTGTGTTGTCTCTACTCCATCTTCACCATCACATTGTTGTATGGTGAATCTTGCTGCTCCTCCCTCTGCTCCTCCTCCTCGTTCTCCTCCTCTTCCTCTTCTTCTTCATTGCTGCTTTGTGTAACGGGAAACGCCCTCTGGGGTCGTTTGGGCACGGCGTAGTCATCCACCTGGGGGTTATATGGGTACTCATGACCTTTAGGGTCAGCAGTTGTACCCATGATCTTCCAGGCATCTCCCCTCATCTCCTCGGGGTCATCGTACAATAAGGTGGGAGCCACTGGCTTCTGTGCGGTGGCGGCACAGCCTTCAGGCTCGTCGTAGATGTGTTCCACCTTCCCATACGTGGGTCCGGGAGCACTGATCGGGAGAATGTTTCTGATCTTCATCTCATCGATGCTGTCGTAGAGTGGGTCTGCACCGGACTCAGGCACATGGCCCTGATGGGAGTTCAGCATATTCGACATCACGTTCTTGGCAATGGTGTCAAAGGGGAGAGAGTACTCTGGCTCCGGGGTGATTAGCTGGGGAGGGCAGGGGGCAGCCAGGCTGCCTCCCCTCTCCCCTTTCTTCTCCTTTTTGGTGCCTCGCTCGGCAGCGGCCGGCAGGTTGATCTGGGAGTACATGTCCCCCAGGTTCGGGTTGGAGCTTAACTTAGGGCTGAGCCGGGGGTTGGGAGTGGGGATGGAGCCAGGGCTCGGGCCCGGGATGGGGGCGGGCTCGGCCTGGGGCAGAGGGCAGCTGGAGATCATCTTGACCTGGTTCTTACGGGGAGGAAGACCTCCTCGAGTGTCCAGATTCAAACTCTTGACTCCGGTCAGGACTTTGTCGAACGGTGGCTCCAGATGAGACTGAAAACAAATCAGGTGACAGTTAGAGACTGATCAGTGATCAATAGCTATCTTTCACCTTTTCAGTCTGTGCTGTGTTTAACTAATCTTCATCAGGTTCTGTACTGACTGATACTGTCCAGCAGGTGGGGCTGTTAAACACATCATGTTACTCTGCCATCAAACCAGTTCCTGTTCTTTTAAATTGGGTTAACTAATCCAGACTAACCTGCTGAAATCAAGATGAAATAATCCTGGTTGTTCTCATCCAGACAAGCTGGCTCTCATAACAGTTTGAGGATTGAATAACTTGTGCTCAGTCTTTACATAAAGGTAAGTCAGTGTGTCTCTGTCACAGTTTCCTACCAGCTGGAGGCGTTGTTGTTGTTGTTGTTGTTGTGAAGGAGTAGGACCCTCTTTGTCTTTGTGAGGGACCATCTGATGTTTTGCAGGTTCATTCACCATGCTGTACACACCATCCAATGCCTGAGGATAGAAAACAGACAGAAACCGTTTTAACCTGGCAGAAAAACAAGTTACAACATCAGCTTCAAACTGCTGTCGAACCAGGAAGAGAACAGAGAAGTTCAGTCACATATCTCCGTGAAACTAGAAGTGCTGCTGGACACGTTATCAATAATTTTAATAACTTAGAATATGTGACTATAAACTTTATTATTATTATTAATCTATTTGAAAATATGATGGTGAATTTAAAGATGTGATTTTGGTTCGGGGGAAGAAACATTTCTGAGGTTAAATCATCAGAATTATGAGCAGAGTTTGGTGTAACCTCCATGTTCATTCTCTTCAGGTTTTAGCCCAAGTTTTATTTTGAAAATTCTGAGTTTATTTTGAAAATCCTGAAAATATGACAATCACAATTTGTATTCTGATTGTCCTGATTTTATTTTGAAACGGATGAGCAGTAGCCGACCTGAGCGGCCGGCGGTTGTGGGGTATGGCTGGGGGGCTGGGGGGGGGGGGGCTCTGGCCTGGGGCTGTGTTGAGGGCCAGGTTGAGGTTCCGGTGGGTCTCTGGACTCCCCTGCCCACCCCCGGAGGACTGTCTGTGAGGGAGGGAGATTCTCTGCAGGTTGATGGCTGCTTCCACAGCCTGAAACACGACGTTCCCCTGTTTGGTGTCAAACTCAAAGCTCCCCTCGCCAGAGTCACACCTGCGGCCCGCCTCGAAGGAGAAGGTGGACTGAAGAGGAAACAGGGTCAAGGTTAGACCAGGTGTTTTCTGACTGCAGAGCCTCTGAGGGTCCCCACAGTGTTCTCAGGGATGAGTTGTGTCATGCTGCCTTAGTGTACCAGGGTCTGGACCTTTACATGACTCTAAAATATCAAACCAGGCCTACACAGATCAGGGTAAGAGTTGGGCTCAGGGTCTAGGTGAGGGTCAGTGAGGGTCCTCACAGCTGTAGAAGGACACAGCTGTGTGTGTGTGTGTGTGTGTGTGTGTGTGTGTGTGTGTCACCTTGTCTCGTCCGAAGCGGCGCAGGTATCTGTATGGCCAGGTGTATATGACGTCTCCTGCCTTGTCCAGCAGGTGAAGAGCATCCACGTCTGCTCGCAGGATACCATCTCCTTTCAGTCTGCAACGCTCAGACGCCTCCGTCCGCCGAACACACACCCTGAAGTCACGCACTGCCACTGCCACACACAAACAGATCTACTGGTCTTCACTGTGTTCGTTATGTGGGTTAAAGGCTGGAGGCCATGTTGTGTGGTGGGAACTGTTGTATAAGAACTTTAAGTCCATCAACAAACAGCTCTAAAGGCTCAGAGCAGAGTCACTTTGTACAGAGAGACTCACTGGTCTGCTCCACCAGCTCCTCACTGCACAGAGCAGTGTGTCAGAGGCAAAAACATGCAGCACCGTGACCCCTCACTGTCTTGTCACTGAGTGAAAAAACTGTTGATTTGTGAGACTGCAGCCGTGTGTGACACCGAAGTGCAGCTGATCCAGAGAGGAAACCACACACTCTTAGACAGGTGTGTGCTGCAGGCGTCTGAGGATGTGGGGAAACAGTAGCAGCTTCAGGAGCTGCACATCACAGCCTCCAATATACTGAACTACACAGAGGAATGGTACTACTGCAACACTGCCATAGTACTATATATAGCTGTACTACACATAAAAACCACTGAGCTGTAACCGAACAACCCCTTATCATACCAACAGAGACTTCGCTCTCAGAGTGCAGGTCTGCTTGTGGTTCCTAGAGTCCACAGAAGTAGAATGGGAGGCAGAGCCTTTAGCTATCAAGCTCCTCTCCTATGGAACAGCACCCAGTCTCAGTTCGGGAGGCGGACGCCCTCTCTACCTTCATACTGTAGAGAAAAATGTGCAGGGTTTTTGGAAATTGCAGTACTACTACTTGTACATGAGTAAGTACTTGTTCCAGTGCTGCTGCTGCTGAGCACAACTTCCTGGTGAGAAACAGGAAGTTTGTCCTGTGAAGATAAAAGCTGAGGTCGTCATGTGGCCGCCGGCCACTGCAGCACTGCCGTGTGGCCGGCAGCGACACCGCAACAGGAACTCACATATACGCAAGTTTCCACTGTATAGCACACACGGCCAACTGGAGAGTGCACCACTGCATATGTGCAGTATAAGTATCAGAACCACAGTGGAAACATTCTAGTAAAGGTTCACACATATCAGATGCAAGTTGTTTGTCCCTCTTCATTGCTTCAGGTGCTGTTCACAGTGTTTCTCTGAGTTCCTACAACGTGAACTACAAGCCCTTCACGACCTTTTAAGCCCAGTTTTACTGCACATGATGCAGTTTCATGGTTTTCATGGGTCATTTTGTGTCAGTCAGTCTATCTCAATTCTCTTTATTTCACACTCACTGAAGGTTGTTCAGTTTAGTACAGGTAAACAGGAGTTTTTCCTTTACATTGTACATTTAGCTGATGTACTCTGTACTTTTATATAAGCAGTACTTTTACTTTTAATCAAGTGTTTTTTCATAGTTTTACTGGTACTTGTACTGCAGTCTGAGTACTTCCTCAACTGGTGACACTGCCACATATGTCTGCAAGGTCACGCTGTCCATTTACTTTTGGCCATGTAATGCATTCTGTAAGTGACGATTGGAAGTGTGTGTGTGTATGTGTGTAGCAGATGAACAAGTCATTTTGGTCTCAGGCTGCTAAATTTAGCAGCAATGGGAAAAGAACAACAGAGAGAGGAAGTGAGTTTTTTGTGAAGGTGTGACAGAGGAAGTTCTGACTGAAAACACGACAACGCAGCAAGACGAGTTTAACTGAAGAGATTTGATAACCTGCATTTGGCCAGAAGTTCTGGCTGCAGGAACAAATGTCACACATACAGAGTTTTTAACTTACAGTGCAGATGTTCTGCAGCTAAAAACTGAATGCCCAGTTTGTTTTCTTCCAAATCAGCCTGGCTGAGTTTTGTGCTATGACACTGCGGGGGTGTCAGCTGCTGACTGCACCACCACCCCGACTGACTGGGCTCTTAGAAACACTGTGACACCACCTCCTCGTCCCTGCTGACTGACAGCCATCTGTTTTACTTTAATCATATCTCTGATTTAGGCTTACAGTAGTTACAATTTAATCAACTAGCATCACAGGAGGGCTGACTGTTCGCTGGGTCAGTAGGTGTTCAGGTGGCCTGAGGATAGGAAACACCGCCGACATGTTTGCCGCAGTCAGGGCTGTTCTGACGGAGCATGGTTTCTTGACCTGCTGTTCATCAGCTTGTTTGTGTATGAATCACAGGTCTCAGTTCCAGCTCAGGAGAAGCTACCAGACAGATTTCAGTTTGCCATGAAAGCCATGAATCTGTATGTCTGTAGAAAAACAAAGGCAGTAAACGAACAAATGCTGTAGTAGACAGACAGGTAGAGCGGTAAGGCCGGTGAACAGGTGTACCTGTCTCTCTGCTGCTGTACAGTGAGTTGTCCTCAGTCCTTTCATCTTCATCCACTCTGTTCCCTCTGTGCAGACTGCCTCGCTTCACGCCGGGCTCCGTCCAGCTCATCTACACACAGGGACATTCATCGGTTTCATTCAGATACACACTACTGCACCAGACAGGTGTGTTTACCTGCTGCTGTGATGTCATAAACTTCCACTTTAAACACAAGTGAATGTCTGGGAAAGTTGTGTGAGTCTGAAACAACATGGGTTTGTAGCAGTGGAGGAGTGTGCCTTTAAAATAAAAGTCTGACTTTCCTCTGGCTCCTTGGTCTGACCCAGTGTGTGGATGTTGTCAGACTCTGGGTCAGCAGAATACTTGTGTATGTGTAACGTGTACTTCCTGTTGCACACATGCAGAAGGAGGAAGTCGTGCCTCAACTGGTGACTATCAGGTGTCAGTCATCTTCCTCTGTTTATAACCCCAGCAGCACAGCAGCGGGTCCATCTGCAGCTGCCTGGTCTGATTCATACTTGTGTCATTGCTTTGCATTTGTATGAAATGATTTGGTTTAGATTCTGTGTGAAACACCGTGAAGCTCTTCCATGAAAAGTAACAGTCTGAGTTTTACCTGTACAGGCCGAGGCCAGCAACAGTATCAGTGTTGTTTCCATAACAGCCGGCTCTGATTAATTACCAAGGACAGGAAAAGACAGAACATTGTGGCCATAATCTAAGTTTGGATCATGTGCAGGATCCTGGGTCGTTGAGAGTCACAGCTCACCTTCAGTCTTTCTGTGGTGCGTGTTACCTTCTGGGTAACATCTGGGTTCCTAACCACCGGCTGCTCTGCACTCCTTCTCTGCAACATGATTTAAACCACCGCTGAGCTGCTCTCACCACATGACAAGTTTTATTTCAGACTCACATAAACTCCCCAACTGATCTCAGACCAATGACCTCATTTATCAAGGCAGGGTCTCGGTGTGTGCAGGAAGTGTTTGTCCAAACAACAGGTGGATTTCATCAGGCAGGCACATGCAACATCAGTCAATCTGGCTAGGCTCACAAGCTAATGTTAGTATAGCAACAGCTGTCCACAGTAGAACTCAGAGCAGCTTCATTAGTCCTGCATCCCATCAAGCTAATAAAGTCAACACCACGTGCCTGTGGTCAGTGTTTGTAAAGCACTGAAGTCAGCCTAGGATCCCTGTGCACAACTATACTGTGTCAAAGTACTGCAGAAAGACGACTGAGACCTGAAGTCAGTTTCTATGTCTGACACAAAATCATTCTGATGTCAAACCTCTGATCAAACAGGGAATGATTCTCAGCTGATGTGACATCCTCATTTACATTGTTGTAGTGAAGCCATTTGCTCACCATGAGGACATTTCTACATTATGAGGACATTGCTGCCCTGTGAGGACATTTCTACATTATCAGGACATTTCTGAACTGCGAGGACATGCTCTCCAGCCCTCACACCTTCAAAGGGCTGTTTGAGGGTTCAGATGTGGATTTAGGGTTCAGGCTAGAACCAGGTTTAAGCTAGGTGTGTGTGCCTTTGTTTTTCTTACATTATGGGGACCAAAACCTGTTAACAAACTCTCATTGTGGGGACTTGGCCCCCACAAGGAAATCACTGAATTTTAGGGTGGCAACATGGTTTAAGGTGGTGAGGTTAAGGTGACGGTCTGGGTTAGGTATTAGGCAAGTAGTGGTTATGGTTAAGGTTAGGATAAGTCTACAGGAAATGAAAGTAAGTCAATGTAAAGTCATTCCAGAAGGAATGAAAACACAGTGTGTTTGTGTGTGTGTGTGCGCATGTGCTTACAGGGAAGGCGACCTCACACAGTTTGTGTGTCCAGTCATCCAGCTGGTTTCTGTCTGCAGCAAACACATAGATCTTCTCTGTCGTCTCCACCAGGAATGGTCCCGTGTCTTTGGGACATCCGTCCATCTCCACCTCTGACACTCGGATACAGTCCGCCAGACGGATCACCTAAGACATGCACACAGAGTGTTATCACCAAGGTAACAGTGTATGTTATCGCTAAGGCAACAGAAAATCTGACAAAAGAATAAATCAGTGAATCACAGTAGAATGTGTTTCTAGAGCAGAATAAAGGTGAATAGAGTGCTGCTGAGGTCAGTAGAGTTCAGTAGAATAAAGTTTAAGAATACAGTAGATGATAGAACACAAGTGAAGGACAACATGGGCTCCTACAGCACAGTAAAGAGGAACAGGATGAAGTTCAATACAGTCACGTGGAACACAGACTATATTCCTGTGGACTCTAACAGAGTGCGACCCAGTAGAACTGGGGCCGAGCACAGTAGAGCCCAGTGGGCTGTGCTGTACCTTCTTGTGTTCCTGCTGCCTGCGCAGGTTTTTGTCACTTTTCTCCGCAGTCGCTGCATCTTTACATTCAAAGAACTCGAGTCTGGAGACGGAGCAGGAGCTCTCATGGTACAGGATGCTCCACACCCGCCGCCACTTCTGCACACACACACACACACACACACACACTGCTGGGACTACTGTAGGCAGTACTGTTATTGTTGCCACTTGTCCTGACATCCGAGCTGTGGTCACGGTGGCATTAGCCGTGCTGTTATGCTGAGTTACTGTACCTTTCCAAACCTCTGCTGCTGGAGGTAGAGCATCCCCTGTTTCCTGATGTCCTCCTCCATGGCGATGCTCCTCCTCCTCCTCCTTCTCACCGCTTCTGTCTCCTCTTCGCTTCTTGCGCCACTTTTTTTGATGCCCTCCTCCTCAGCTCGCTGGCCTCCGTGTGCTTCCTCTCCTTCTCTGACTTTCTGCTTCCTCTTCTGCTTAAAGTCAAACTGCCCTCGTCTCCGTTCTCGTCTTCCTCTCTTCTTCTTCTCTCCTCTCCACCTCCCTCTTTTCTTTTTGTGAAATTTAAAGAGGTTCAAACTCCAGCCTGTCTTCTATCTCATCCTCCTTCCTCCCCATTTTCTCTCCTTTCCCCTCCGTTCGATTCTTCTTTCTCCTTTTGTCTCTCAGCGTGTCTGCTTCAGCTCCTCTTCTCTTTCCTCTGTGGTATCAGTGTGTTGCAGAGAGACGCTGAGTGTACGCTGAGTGTGTGTCATCTGTGCTTCCTTCCGTCACCCTCTGTTGCAACCCTGAATGCAGAACTAACCGACTGCATGACGCTGTCAGTCTCTCCCCTCCTCCATGTCCTTAGCAGCCTGGTTCTACTTCAGCTTCTCTTCTGCTCTCTGGTAGCTTCTCCTCACTCCGCCACCTGTTTCTACTATTCACTGCATGTGTTTCTATTTACCACTCGTTCTTTCATACAGGACATCACAGGTATGACCCCCCCCACCCCACGCGGCCATGTTGGAGATTAGCTGATTGTGTTCCTGTGTCTGCTTATTCAGTGTCATTCTGTCCCTGTACCACACACATCCGTTGGGTATTTTGCTTCCACGGTTCATTCTTTGTTGAAACATTGCTGTACATTTATTTTACAGAAGTACTCAGCTGTATTGTTCTGAATGTACTGTTAGATTTTACGCTTTTTGTTAGAAATTAACCCAATTCTTTTGTTGGAAGCACGAGAAGTGACGACAGGAGCGGACTGTTTAAAATCAGCAGAAAGTTTACTGAATGTCTGATCACAGGTAGGCCTTACAGTGCTGGGATCAGAGAGACAGAGCTCCCGCCCGAGTTCCATCCACTGACCTCGAATTAAGGTCTTACAATACATTTTATCTTCTTGGGCTGCTCTGCACTCAACAAAGGTACAACAATTCATGCATTGTAATCCTATTGGTCATTTGGTGAGCAGGAGCTCACACCTCCTTGCTGGAATGTGATCAGACATCTAGTCTCTACACAGAAGTTACAGCATTCAAAGTAAGCAGATTCTGCTTCATTACAGCTGTAGGATATATAAGCAAGGGAAACAAATGCATTAAAATAACCAAAGCTCAGTAGTTCTGGACAATCATCAATACAGCTGTAATATGCATAAAGAAGTAAGATAAAGTTATGAAAGGTAACTACAGGTATGAGAAGTAACTAAAGCTGATAAAGTAACTAGAGTCTATAAGACTTAAATCTTACAGTACATATCACAGGAGAAGGGTTTCAGTTGTAAGTCCTCCGTTGTCAAACTGACAAAACAACGGGTCACCTCGACTTGCACAGTGCTACACTGCACGTTGACAGGGCAGGACTGAATGAAGGTTTTGGGAGAGGTTCATCTTGTACAAACTGTTCTAACTAATTCATATTAAGTGGAATTGTAATAACACAGGTCAGTTCAGTGTAAGTGTTCACAGTGTAAAACCCATTGTGTCTGCAGCGTTTCAATGCTGTGCTTTGTGGTGGTGCAGCTCATATTAAAGTTCCTTCTACTCAAAAATATTTTTCACTTATAGTTTACTTCATTGTGTCACAGAAACCCACTGGCCCAGTGGACACTGAACTGAAGCTGGAGAACCACAACACACGACTCCGGAGGCCCCCTGGGGGACTCGAGCACGGGTTTAGGAAGAAGCCGCATCGTTCTGTTGTGACCAGGCTTCGCTTTGTGACCAGCGGGTAAATAAACAGCCCAGAATGCAGAGTTCAGCTCCATTTATTACACATTGGAGACAGAGTCAAGCACTTGCATTTCTTCACACTGAGGCTGCTCATTAGTTTGTTTCCTTCCTTTGTCCTTTTGTCTTTCATGCAACCTTCCTTCTGCTGTTTCTAATCACTCACGAGCTTTTAATTATGAAATGTAACAGGAGGAAACACAAAACTGACAATCAGTTCTCTCTCTCCTCTGTCTTTATGGACGGCAGGCGGCTGTAGGTTGTGGTCCAGTAGGTGACGTACTGTGACCTCAGGTCGTAGCTGAAGAGACAAGACCACAGGAGACACAGTGAAACACCCGACAGTGGACATATGGGGCTTCCACTTATTACATTACCTAGTGTATCACATTCTTCCTTTTTTTAATCAAATCATAAATGAAAATTAGAACGATACAAAGGTAAAGGTCATGAAATGAAAGTAAGTGTAATTGTATGTTATGGATTTTAAAATTGTTGTGTCACTTCTCTAACAGTGAACGCATCAGTACATCATCCACTAGAAAATAAACAGAGCGTAGAATTGTGGACAGCGGCTCTGGGAAGAGTCCGTTTATACCTGAGAATAAAACCAAGCAAAAGAGTAAAGAAGCATATATTAGAGCAGAGCAGTAGAAGACAGTGGAGCAGAATGAAATGAAAACAGGCCAGTAGATGAAAGTAGACACAGTGGAGCAGATCACAACTGAGTGAAACAGAAGAACTTTAGAGACAGAATAGTGACAACAACACAACTGAGTCAAGTAGATCCAGAAGAACGGTGTCCATTAGAACCACTGCAGTAGAATACATCTAGAGCGCAGGGGACAAGGCAAAGCCTCAGGATGGGACCAGTAAAGCTCCCAGTAGAACACAGTGCCATACCTGACAGAGCTCTTGTCAATCTGGTGGTTGATGGTGAGGTAGGGCCGGTGGTGTTTGGTGAAGCGGGGCCAGGGAACTGGGACTCTACTTTCTCCTTGACTGGGATCACTGGACAGAAGGAGATGTACAGCTGGGACCAGGTTCAGCCCAGTTCAGATACAGCCAGGTGTGCGGTGCATGCTGGGAGCTTACCCAGTCCGGGCAAAGTTGGTCCAGTATGCGATCATGTATTTGGACAGGTGTCGGTGTCGGGGGAAGTAGATCAGCGATATGGAGAAGGGTTTACCAAACAGGTACTGCAGATCCTCAGCATGCTCCGCCTCCACCCACCCCGGGAATCCTGGGATACGGGTCTTCATGTTGAACAGGTAGGAGTAGGTATGGGCTCCACTGAGGGACAAACAGGGTGGTAGATGTTCAACATGTTCAAATTAAAAGTTGCCTCAGAGTTTCTCACAAGACAAAAACAGAGCTCGAGTCAGTGAGTCGGCTGTGAGTCCTTGTCTCTGCTTGGTTCAGTGCTGCCCTGTCCTTCACCCTACTGATACTGTGGTGATCAGGTTGAATCTAATCCAAACGAATGTGATATCATTTACAAATCTGTAACTGTGTTGTTTCTGGTCTACTCAATCAAAACAGTTACTTTAAACCTGGATCCTGGACCAATCGAATCTGACCTGGTGCTGTTGACATGGAGTTGGAGGGCGACCTGAGTCGGGACCAGGAACAGGAAGTCTGTCTCGATGTCGGCCACCGTCTTCTTTACCACATCCTGCGGTGGAGCCACACCCCAGTGAGATGTGTAGACATCGTAGGCCGAGTCGATGGCGGCGTTCCCTTTCTCTTTGGTCATACGAGCCAGCAGACCTCTGACCTGCTTCCTGAGGAGCAGAAACACTCATCAGCCAGGACTTCAGACTACCAGCAGCTTCCTTCAGGTCACAAGATCTGACCTCTTTATCTCCTGCTCTTTTTTTAAGGCAATAACTTTGTTATGTGATTGTTGTCTCGAGGAAAACAAACAAATTCTCCGCGAGCCAAAACAAGTCAGGCCAACACTGGTCGGACTGTGGCTGCCTGGCTCTGGACTCCTGACTTATTCTGGACCAGAGTGTCAACCCAAGAACTTTAGTCTGATTCCAAAGTGTGAATGAGCAGCAAATGGAAATGCTCAACTAAAGTACAGTACTTCAAAGGTGTACTTCAGTACAGTACATGAGTAAATGTACTTAGTTACTTTCCACCAGTGGCTTTAAGAATACTTTAGTGTGGCGTCGGCGTTCTCACACAGTGGTCTCATTTTTCATGTTGATAGTAGGAACGTCAACTCCGGCGAAGATGTGTCCATCCATGCTGTTGACTCCGGCCATGTAGTCCACCTGAGCTGCATTGTGGAAGAGCTTGCTGGGGTGATCGGGGATAAAATCCCCATCAACCACCGGAGCAAGTTCCAGGAGATCCATGACTGTGCCTGCAGGGAGGACAGACAGACCCAGGTTCAGTCGGGATCCAGGGCCTCTGTAAAACCTCTACGTGTGTCACAGCTCTGGACTCAACCATTTCAGCTTTTCTGGACACTTTCAATGTGTCTGCAAATCTGCTGACATTCTTGAAAGTGTTACTGGCTGACTTCTCAACATCTGTGTGAGAAGCTATAGTGAGATGTCAAAGTGCTAATGAGATGACTTCTCTCCTTCACACCGCTGTCTGTGCTGGCCCACACGCCACACGCTGCTGCTCACAACAGAAACAAGCTGAACTGTGACTCAAGATGTGTTTGGCTCTGCCCAGCTGTTCTCACCTTTTCCCAGAAGCAGCAGTACGTCGATTTTTCCAGCCAAGGTGAGTCCGACTGGGTCGCTCATCTTCAGACACGTTATCATCTCGTCCTCGTTGCTTCTCCAGCAGCCGACCTTACGGGCGATCTGCAGAAACACAGAGCAGTTGAGTCCAAACTAGTCCGACCTTCGGCTTTATACAAATGTCCCTCTTTGTGTAAATGTCCTGATGACTTAAATAAAAATAAATGTGCTACCAGCACAATTTACCTGAAGTATAAAGATTATTTCAGCATTTTACTCTTATATGACATTTTTGGATCCAAGTTACTACACTGATGTTACTTTGGCTACTTCAAGTATGTTTCGTTACTACACTAGTGTTACTTTGGCTACTTCAAGTATGTTTGGATGCTAGTACTTGGGTACTTTTATTTAAGTAACATTTTGAATGCAGGACTTTTTCTTGTATTTGTACACTGTGGTATTTCTAATTTACTTCAGTAAAGGATCTGAGTGCTTCTTCCAGCACTGCCAGTACATTTATATTTAGTTTCCGATCATCATGTACAGTTGACAGAATAACCTCCAAAAAGTAGACTGCACCCCGTTTATGAACCGTTTGATCGATTATTTGCTCAACAGCTTTGAACTGAGTGCATGTTATTGTCTGACTGTGTTGGCGATGGCGTCGAGGTGCGCCTCAGTGGTTGTGGACCTTCTTGGTGAGAGCCATGGGGTTCTTCTGCAGAGCCCAGGGGCTGAGGGCCACGCCACCCTGTGTGATCGCTCTGCGGAACAGCCCTTTACTGTGGGGGGACAGCATCTGAGGAGACACACAGATGGACAGAGAGAGACACACACTCGGACTTTGTATCTCAGACTTTAGTCACAGTTAGTTAAGAAGTTACAACTGACTCAGTCAGTCAGTTCTTAACTTTTAATTTTGTACATAGAGTCATAACTTTGTTTTCTGTTTTCCCAGTGGAGGGCTGAGCTAAAATGAGCCCCCCCACCTGATATTACTGTAACCAGCCCCGGGCCTTAGTGATGACACAGGCATTTGAACTCGGCAGGAAGCTGTCAGCTCCACTGTGACTCCTGTTTCTCCTTGTGCAGTCTGACCTTCCCTGTCACTGTGGGGTGCGTGCAGATGTTTTTTTTTACTTCTGACCTGGAAGCTGACGCTGGCGGCGCCGGAGGATTGGCCGAAGATGGTGATGTTGTCGGGGTTTCCTCCAAAGGCCCTGATGTTCCTGCGAACCCAGGAGATGGCGGCGTGCTGATCCCACAGACCGTAGTTACCTGAAAGGTGAAGACGTCACCTGATTACAAACTAAGGTCACCTGGAACAGGTTTTTCACCATGAGATGACAAAACCCGCAGTGTTGGGACAAACAGAGACAAACCTGCTCCACATATCTAATCACAGCTGAGCCACCTGCCACCTGAGCTGGTCATGTCTGAGCGGTGTTTAGCAGCTGAGCTAACACACTGCGCCTCTCATCGCAGGCATGCTGGGAAACCACCAGCAGGCACCAGAACACACCAGTTCAGTCCCAGTCCAGCCCTTGAAAAGCTGACCTGGTAAAATTTGTAATCTCACACTGCAGCGTAGCAGAAAGACACAGAACGCCAGCTAATGGAGTTAACGTTTCCAGGTTAAAGCCTCAGAAACAGCCAGAAAACATCAGTCATGTGAAGCGAACTCAGCAATAATCAGCAGGAGATGGAGAGTACTGTGGTTTGGTCGACCCGGGTGGACTGGTGGGCATCTGGAGAAGTGACGTGACAGATGTGGAAGAAGTACTCAAGTACAAGTATTACTACCACAGTCTAAAAACACTGTTACAAGAAAATGTCCTGCAGTCAAACTGTTACTTAAGTAAAAGTACAAACATACTAGCTTCAGCATATACATGAAGTACCATCAGTACCATTACTCGTCCTGCAGAACGTCCCGTGTCCCAGTAATGTCTCTGATACTGGATCATAGTGACTAATTACTGTGTCCATCACTTTAATGCTGCAGCTGGTAAAGGTGGAGCTGATGGTAACTACCTTATATACTTATACTGTGAAGTACTTTCTATCCTGCTGGGTAGCTGGTGGATTTCCCACTGGGATCAATAGAGACTGATGGTTCTACTGGGTTTGGTTTGATTCATCTGATTCTGGAACTGAAGTTATCAGGTACATGTAGTGCAGTAAAAAGTACACGGTTTGTCTCTGGCATGGAGTCACAGGATGAAGTAGCAGGACAGGGAAATACTCAGGTAAAGTAAAGATACCTCAGAACTGTACTTAAGGGCAGTGCTTGAGTGAATGGACCTAATTACTTTCCAACAGTAAGTGTGGCTCAGACCTGGCAGTCGAGTGTCTCCGGTGCTGAGGAAACCCATGGTGCCGACTCTGTAGTTCACTGTGACCACGATGACATCGCCCCTGTCGGCCATCTCCTTCCCATCATACAGAGAGTTTCCGAGGACCTCCAAGGTGTTGGACGCCCCCATCAGGAAGGCACCGCCAAACAGATAAACCATCACTGGGAGGTTCTGAGACACTTACACAGGAAGACATGCTGACATTTACAGTCTGTGGAAACTGTGTATTTCTGTTGTTGTGAGGACATGTGGTCCAGTCCCCAGCCCTTCAGCGGGCTGTCTGAGGGTTCAGACCCGGTTCTAGGGTTTGATTTGATTTTTGATTTGATTTATTCTTTCAAGCATGTAAAACAGTTGATATGACAACACACATAATTTTACACATAATCCAATATCAATTTGCTTATACCTAGTACATGCTTGAATGGAGTAGGAAGAAGTCAGACTTATCCAGTCCTACCCCATGACATCATCTTACCATCACTGGTTTGCAAGCAGTAAATGATTCACTTCTACCCACACACGTATTATACTAAAAAAAGATTATAACAGTGTTAACATTCTTACATCACACAAGTAATATACTAAAGAATGGTTACAAAATATACACCACACCCACAATAGTCCATGTAGTTAATCATTGAGCCTGTTCTTGCATATATCTTGATTGGCACATACCTTTATATTTATGTTTAAACTCGTCAATTCTATTACTATTTTTTATGTCCACACTTAAATTATTCCATAGTTTTACCCCACTTATGGAAATACAAAATCTTTTTTTTGGTTGTATGTATAGCATGAATTTATAAATTTAACTGACCCCTTAAATTGTATCCCCCTTCCCTTTCATTAATAGGTTCAGGTTAGATGTTAGGGTATGGTGTGGGATGTTACCTACATTTGCTCCCCTGTGGAACGAAGATGTTCAAGTAGAGACAGTCTTCACTGCCATGGGTTTTTGTCTGCAGCAGCGTCACCTGCAGGCAGCGATCCCGGTACTCAGTGGCCTTCAGGATTCCTGGAAACAACCACAACAGTCATTCATAGGCCAGTCTGAGCTGCTTTACTGGTCACTGTGGTAAATCTGCAGGTGACATGGTTTGTTGAAATTGTTCCTGCTTTCTGTTTTAGCAGTGTTGCTTCTCTGCATTAACAAAATGATAAAAACAGTGAATGAAGGTATGGTTTGAGGACAGGTGTCATGTGTGTGCAGGAGCAAACAAAAGTCAAAATAATTTAGTGAAAATAAAGAGGCCATCGCACAGTGTGCACGTCACAGGTGCACATTCATTTATCAGTTTATTTTTAATAATTTATTTAGCTGCTTGTTCCTCGCTCAGTGATCACAGTGTGACTTAAGGCTCAGTGCAGGTACCGCTCCATCCAGGATGAGGTTTTGGTTTCTCCCACTTTCCGGGGACGTCAGCAAAGGGGATTCCTTTAAAGACGTCCACAGTCCTTAAGAGTCCCATCCTGTGGCTCTTCCCCTCCACCGTCCCGCCCTCCGTCTGCACCACACCCAGCTACACACACGCGTGTTTCATACAAGAACAGAAGATGCAAAATGACAAGACAGATACAGTGATTGCAAAGAGATGCTAAATGACCACAGAGTCTCAGAATAACTACAAAGAAGCACAAAACACACTATAGACGCATGAAATGACTTCAAATCAATGCAGAATTTTAAATAAGCACACAGACACAAAGTACTGCAAAGACACAAAATGAACACAGACAGAGACTAAATGGCCACCACCGTAGGAGAGTGGGGACCCTTCACAAGCCTGGGGGCTTGTTGTCTTATGATCAGCCCATAGATGTTTTAACTACCAGACAGATGTCAGGATACAAAAAGAAGTGATCAAAATTCAGCACATCTGGTCCAGGACTTTTAAAGCTGGCTCTCAAAGTGACCTGACTGGTTCTCACACTGTGGTTGTGGCCTGACAGCAGTAGTTAAATGAGAGAATATCACTGTGTTAGGATGCACCCCTGACACCAGGTCTGAAAATCACCAAGTTGTACATCTATGTTATTTCTCATATACTTCCACCTCTGGTAAAAAGCGTCGGGGGAAAAGGGGCTGTTCCTCACCTTTGCAGCCGAGGCTGAGTCCAGCCCAACGCCGAGCAGAAGTAGCATCAGCAGCATCGCCTGTTCACCTGTCCGTCACTCTGACCAACCCTGAACAGCTGCTGCTATTTATACTCTGCTGGGAACCTCTTATCTCCTTTTGCTGCAGACAAACACTGAAATCAAATCTTCTCTCATCATGACGCTGCACGTAGAGGCAAGTTATTAAGTACAAGTATTTTGAGGTACTTGTACTTCTCCTTAGTACTTCCACGTCCTGCTACTTCATACTGTGACTCCATGTCAGAGACAAACCGTGTACTTTTTACTGCATTACATGTACCTGATAACTTCAGTTCCAGAATCAGATGGATTGGAAGAATCCAGCACTGCCTACACTTCGTGGCCTGTTTCTTCTCACTGATATGGCTCATTTCTTGTTTCATGGTGTCTGGCACTCTCTCTCTGTGTTGAACTGTGCTGCTGTTCCTGGGTGATTTTGTTCTGTTTGGAACTGAACTGACTTCAGCTTGATAAAGTTGCAGAGTTGTTATCATCATCACACCTGAGAGCACACACAGCTGCTGCTAACAACACGTAACACACACTGACATTGACATATAACCCACACACTGTTAGCTTTAACCCACCATCACAGGCATTTGTTTCCCTTCTAATTTCCAGTCCTACTGTGTCACCTATTTTTTCTTTGCTTGGTAGCCACGGGCTTCCATAGGTTGTGTGTATTTAGGGACAACGCTCAGTGCTTTGTCCATCAAATAAATAATGCTATGTAAAATGAAATGAGTTAGGGTTAGCTTGGTTTTTATCATTTGTCCCTGAGCAAATGTTAAAGATGCACCATAACAATATAAAACCCTGCATCTCTTAAAATGTATATATACAACAGAAAACATGTGAAACAAAACAGTAAGGTAAGACGAATTAATATGATGTATAAAGTATATTGTAACAGCAGCAATAAATAGTGTCAAAGTAAAACATGGTTTATGCAAAATTAATTATTTGCACGTTATCAACGGCAATAAATAAGTGAATTAATCGTTTCTCATCTTTTCTTGGTTGAAGCTCGTTTCTCCCGTTTTCTAACTTGACTCCCTGAACGCCTCCTGGCGGAGTCTGTTGTTGCTCAACATGGCTGCACCCTGCTCGGATCAACAGGTCTGACGGTAAGCGAGTTTTTCTCCAGCTAAAGTTTGCTTTTTAAAGTTTGTTTTTCAGTTTAAGGAAACGTGTCTGTTTGTCTCCGAGCAGCAACAGCTGCCAGGCGGCAAAACAGTGTTGTGAGCTGTTGTGTTAGTTCATGTGCCAGACTGCAGAACACACGCAGACTGACAGCTGTTAGCATGTTAGCTGTGAGCTAGTTGGACAATAGTCTGAGTCCCAAAGTTAGGACTCTAAAGGTTTTGGTGTAAGATTACTTCACAGAGTAATTTAGCACTGAAAGCAGCTCCTACGTGTGGGAGAGGTCGAGTCCCCCTCACAGTGAAGTGTTGCAGCTAATGTCAAGTTTATTGTCAAAATTCAGTTGTAGTGAACCTTTATTTTAATGAATTCAGTTGCTCATCAACAAGCTGAAACGGTTCAAAATGTAGTTTTCAGCTGTGATGAACCTGAGATATCTGTCTGTCAGAATTCACCAAATACATTCTGCTTTGTTCAGTAAGTGACATAATAATAATCAGTAACCACCAAAAGCAGGATTCATCCGGTCCACGTCGGAGAAGAGAACAGCTCCTGAGAGCCAGACGTCTTCACGTGAGAGAGTCATTCCATATATTTGTGTGTCCAGGTGTTCACAATGTCCAGGGAGCAGGTGAGTATCACAGAGCTCCTGCTCTCATTGGACAGTTCAGAGCTGCAGGAGGTGGAGCAAGTCAGAGCAGCAGTCAACCAGCAGCTGAGTACAGGTGAGTCCACCTGCAGAGGGTTGGTGTAGAGTTTCAGCAGCTCCTGTGTCAGTGGAGCGATGCTCGAAGACTCTGAACTCTCAAGTGGATTTGTGATACTGACCCTCTGAGGGCTGAGTGAACGATGTAGACCCACTATAGACTCACTGCAGACCCTGCAGATGTAGACCTACTGTAAATTAATGGACTCCAGAACTCGCCTGAGTTTATAAGCTCACAATTATTGTACCTTCGTGCAACATGAGAGAGGATACTGGCCTGTTGTACTGGCTTCCAGCTCTCAGTATGACATGCAGTTTCTCCTTTCAGACAGAGGAGGTGCTGTCCTCTCCTCTCTGGTGGAGTATTACCTGGACTCGTCTTCCTCTCAGGTGGTGCTCCTCCTGTCCTCCATTAGAGAGCCTCATCACAAGGTCAGCACTGTCTCTCAGCTGATTTTATTTTCCTGGTCTCTGAGTTTTTCTTTGTAAAGGTTCTAAACCTCTTTCCAGGTCCTGCTGGAGAAGCTGAATGAGTCTCTGAACAGGCCCGGGACCAGGCTGGCTGGTCTCATGCTGCTGGGTCACCTGATCCAGAAACAGCCTCCCTGGGTTCATCACGTCAGCCAGTCGGCCCTGCTGGCCTCCCTACTGCGCTGCCTCAAGGTACCACACCGACTACTGCTGATACACACTGATGTACACATTCAAATACACAGAAATACTAGAAGTACTCCAACGGATACCAATTGCTGTTAATGCACACCAATATACACATACTTAAATACACACTAATACACGTAAATATGCATGAACACATACTGATATACATACACACTGTTAAATGCAAATGCTTTATTGCATACTAATGTACAAATAAAATGAGTACATACTAGTACACAACATGTATTCGGCCTCATAGATCTTACTGGTTCATTGCAGCTCGGGTTCCTTGTGTTTATTATTTCTGTGTAGTACTACCATTATACCAGGGTAGTATCTGAGATCTGGGAGTGTACTGTGTACTGCAGAGCGTACTGTGACCACAGTTTGCTTCCTCAGACTGACAGGGACGTGGTGGTCCTGATCACTGGAGTCCTGGTCCTCGTCACTCTGTTACCCATGATCCCTCAGGCTGGGAAACACCATATCTACGACTTTTTCGATGTGTTCGGACACCTCGCATCCTGGAGCTGCAGAAACCACGGTGACATACACACAAAACATGATGTGTGATCCTCATACATTTGGTTTTGGGCCTGTTGGTCGGGCACATACAGTCATTATTGAGCCATTTTAAAGATGAAACTAATCAAATTAACTGAGAACGAGATTAACGGATAATGAACCAAGACGTTGGGTGCCGTTCAGCGGTTTCTTACTGTATATGTATGCTACTTTTAATAATGAAAACACGCTCATCAAATGTTGCACGCTTTTTATTTTAACTATCAGAAATATGGAAGTCCATCCTGATTGGTCAGTAGGGTCAGCGGAGCGTTCTGCTGTGCTGCTGAGGCGTTCTGATTGGCTGGTTGTTGCCTCCTGCAGGTCATGTACCCGTGCTCCACCTGGTCCACCTCCATGCAGGTGTGTACTCTCTGTTCCACCGTCTATACGGGATGTTCCCCTGTAACTTCATCTCCTACCTGAGACTGCACTATAGCATGAAGGAGAACCTGGACACCTTCCAGGAGGTCATCAAGGTCAGTACAGACCAGTACAGAGACCTCCAGAGGCCACTAGAGCCCTGTACAGACCAACATGGACCATTAAAGACCAGATAACATTATATTTGTGTTCGGCTAATTTTTTTCTTTTAACTTAATATTTTCTGTATTTGATATTTTTGTGTTTACTTTCGGTCAAAAATAAGTGTTTTTAGCTAAATGAACATTTTCTTTTACATTACAAGCAAAAAAAAAAAAGTCTGCGGACTCCATTTGGGCCTGATGATGACTGGTTAACTGGGTTAAACTGTAGCAGACCTCCTGACACGTCGGGGCGGTAACAGCTGCTGTACTGTTTTCCAGTGCTGACACACTCGTACACAGAAATAGCTGCTGTAAATACCAGCTGCTGCTTTTCTCAGATAACACAAGCTGAAACAGAAGAATCCCACCTGAAGGGCCAGAACTCTGCTCATGTCTGTCCTCTGTCTCTCAGCCCATGTTGGACCACGTCAGGGTTCATCCGGAGCTGGTCACAGGGACTCAGGACTACGAATTGGACCCGTCCAGGTCAGTAAGGGTGTCCAAACACAGAGACCAAATCTGAACAAGCTACCCCTCATATCAGGGTTAGTCAATAATTAAACCACTGTAAGTGTCTGATACTCCCCACCAACCTCGTCCAGAGACCAGCAGCACCAGTGAACGTGGTGTCCTCATCGTCATGTGTGAGTCCAGACCCTGGTCCAGCTCATCGCTTTGTGCCGTAGACCTCCACTGTTGTCCAACAGTTATTAGACCCCCCCCCAGTGAGCCACACCGCTGCACTGGGGGGCAGGTTTCCTCCTCAGGAAACATGGGAGGCGTTTGTTTCCACCAAACAGCTTCGACACGTTGCTCTGAGCAGTGAGGAGCCGGTGGAGGAACCAGAGCAGAGACCAGTGAGTCTGTGCACAGTGTGGAGCTGGTTGATGGAAACACATGGGCCTCACATTATTTTGTTGCTGCTGACCATCCATACACCTGAGTAACTGCAGCTGCTGAGGAAGACCAGGTGTTATGACTGAAAGCTCCAAAACAGCCTTGAACAGACCTTAGAGTATAGCTGGCTCGATGCCCAGTAGCAGTAACACTGATAATGTGACCGTTGAATCTGAGCTCAAATTAAGAATATACAAGCTAATAAAAACGTGAGTTGCCAAAATTAAAGACCTTTTGAAACAGACAGTTTAAAGGAAAATAAAATGATCTGATTGGTGCATGACAACCTGGCTTCACCTGTCCACATAAAGACAGAAACAGCCTGTGAAATAACGACACCCGTCCATCTCAGGTGGAGGCATTACGAAGTCCATGACATTGTGATTGAGTGCTCCAGGGTGTCTCTGGACCCTCTGGAGTCTTCCTGTGAGGAGGACCTTTCCTCTGCCCTCCCTCACCTGGACCTCACCTGCAGTCCTCTCACCACAGTGGCTGCCAGCAGCTCAGGTGAGTGACGCACACACACTGCCAGTCTACACTGGTGTTCAAGGCCTTTTAAATGGTTTTAATGGGAGAAAATCAAACCTTAAAGCTGGCGGGTTTCTATAAGCATCACCTTCCTGCCTTAAAGTTGAAGTTGCATTAATACATTGGTCATGTGCTGAATATGTACTAGGATCTCCAGTACTTAGTGGGTTTGTGCACGCACCAGTTAGCATGAATCTTTACAGTCAATTCTTAGTCAATTCTGAAATGTTTTAATTCATTCAAAACATTATCCTTGTATAGTGCCCATTAAAACCAACCTATTAAGTTTAAATACTTGATTATTCTTTTATTAGCCCCAAATCTGGAGCCACACTAATTTTCTGCTCAGTGAAAAAGGCTTAATACATTTTAATGGGTGACTTTTGTGCTTTGAGGCAAATTTGAGGGTGTTATTAATGGACAGATGGCCGTATTTAGGACATTATAATGGGAAGTTTAAAGGATACTGAATAGGTTAATTTACGGCTTGTAATATATGATAATAAAAGTGAAACAGACCACATACTGTCAAAACAGATCCACAATTTCACGCCTTAATTGATTATTAATTAGGACCTGGAATTTCATCAATGGCTTGTAGTTTGGTAAACAGAAGGGTTTCCCTAAATGTAAAAGAACCTAACTAAGACATGTTTGTTGGGAATTATACGAGTAATGAATTGATTTGCTAACAGGGAGCCCGGTGTGTCCTGGTGGACGTCCAGCTGTGACTGTGCTGCCGCCCAACAGCTCCTATATCCAGGTAAAACTGTTCAGCTGCGTCATGAGCCTGTCAGACCTGCATCCTGCTGCAGGCCTCATATGAACGTCATGTGATACGAAGGCAAACAGACATCGATCTGTTCTGCAGAATCCCCCCTGACTAAACCTCTGGGTATGAAATAAACCCTGACTGTCTCTACGCTCACAGAGCACTTATTAGGTACACCTGTACAGGTGAATGCAACCCAGTACAAAGCATTGGTCTTTGTGAAGCTCATAGTGTTTCAGTCAGAAATGTATGGACTGCGTGTTTTTTTTGTTTTTTTTTTATTGAGGACCTAGTTAAAGGTGGAGTTGGACTGGGTGGAGATGAGTCAGCTGCACTGTGACTGGTTCTGATCACACCTGGGTTCACCTGACTGTTTCTGTGTGTACAGGCTGATGTCACGTGGAGCCCCTCCTCTCAGTGTGGTTTGTCCACGCCGCCACCTGAACCTGCTGCCACAGGCTTCGCCCACCTTCTGAGCAGGACCGCCTCACTCTCAGGTGACAGACACAGTTCGTTTCATCATTTCATGTACCTGGTTTTCCACAGTGAAAACGAACTAAAACGACATAAAAGGTAACATTTAAAAAGTAGTACGATGAAATCTCTACATTTTTCATCAACAAATAAAAACTAAAGGATAATGTGAAAGACGACAAACAGACATGAAGTAATGACGTCTCAATGCAAAGTGTCGTTCAATGACCTGCAGCGTGAGAACGCTCGGACCTCAGCTCCTGAAACCAAACCTCTCCTGATTTAGCTGCTTGACCTGCTGCACTGTTGTTAACTCAGTCCATGGTAAATGAACAAAAAACAAGCAAGCAAACAAAAAAGTAACAGTAAGAGTAAAAGTGGAGTAAAACGGCAACAAAATACAAGCAAAGAAAATAACCAAACATCCCCCAGAGTGACAAATAGACCATGATCGGCCCTGATAGTGAGACACCACCTACTCTGTGCTTGTAACTTTGACTTTCTCTGTTGTGTCTCCAGGTGTGAAATGTCCCTCATCAGCTTCCGTCCCTGTAACACCACTGACTGATGAGAACCAAGGTGGAGGTCTGCTTCCTGACGAGAACAGACAGGTCAGATCAGGGCCACAGGGAGACATTATGCTATGAAGGCTTTTATTGTGAAAGAGTTTCTCTGTGTCCTTACAGGTGAAGCAGCAGCAGCCAGTCACAGAGAAGGAGGAGCGAGGCCAGAGTGATGTCATCAGCAGCAACAGTGAAGGTGAGCCGATCAGCCGATTGAGCTCCGTGTCCACACACAGACATCCTGCTGTGATCTGGCTCAGCCACGGGTGCATTGTGGTGTCAGCGTCCGTAGGACATGGCTCAGATGTTGAGCAGTCATGTTTAATTAGTCATTTTAGATTTAGGTGTTTCAAAGTATTTTACATGTTTTAATGTGAGAACACAGCAGCTGAGTAAGACCTCCTGACCCCGACCCTCATCCTGACCCCAACCGCGGTCCTCTCTTTCTGTCTCCAGAGGGCAGGTCCTCCTCCTTCTCTCAGCCGGTCCTCCTCACCTCCACCCCTAGTCATGATGATCCATCTTCAGCTTCCTCTGTTTCCCCTCTTTTCTCCTCCATCTCACTCTGCTTCACCTCCCCTCACTCATTCACCACCTCCCACAGATCAGAGGAGGGAGGCCCAGCTCCCCTGTACGAACCCCTGTTTGAGCTAGCTCTGCCCCGAGCTGCCACACTCTTCATCAAGAGGAAGACTCAGGTAAGCTGGACTGAACTGGATTTAACCTGATCAACCAGGATGTGTCAAAGGATGAAGCCGGTGGTTTTGTTTGTTGTATTTATTTGCACTCTAGAGGCAACACTGAACAAAAACATTCACTTTGTCTCAGAATATCCAACAACCTCTTTCACACAATTTGTTTATCTATAAAATTATTATTAAATTAGAACTTAATTTCTCTTGAGTACAGAGTTGCTTCTCGTAATAAGTCTTTTTATAGTAATGTTTCTTTTTTCAAACTCTAATGGTGACCCCCGCAGTTGTATGTTACGATCAGTATATGCTCTTCTTTTAGAAAATATAATCAATATTTATCAATGAATCAAAAAATGTAATAAATCATTATAAAATTGTTGTTCCTCCAAAAATAAATTGAACTTAAATATAAAGCCTAAAAAACTGTTTGTTGTTACTGATCATTTGCTGTGTCCTGGAGGAGGCGCTGGAGAGAGCGGGGCAGCAGGAGAGGGGAGGAGGTGGAGGAGAAGGGGAGGACAGGGATGACGATCACCCCCCCCTCTCTCCTCTGGAGGTTTTGGACCAGCTGATCGTCCACGGACACGATGCCCATGAATGCCTCAGCAGGAGGTGAATCTTATTGAGACACTAAGCAAGAGGGGACCAGGAACGGAGCCCTGCGGCGCTCCACCTCCTGTGATCAGGGTTTACATTTTCTCTGAACACAGAGTTTCTGTGGACCTTAAAATGTCTAAATCAGTGTAATGTCCTGTGAAGTGATGGAAAGATACCTGTGTGTTTGTGTTGCAGGTTGTCAGCTGTGAAGTCGGTGGATCGGAGTCATTTTGGAGGTAAACAGCAGAGCATGAAAACCAAAGGTACCTCAAACTAACACTCAGTCTCATGTTATTAATTCAATGAAGCCAATTTGCCCGAGACAGAGGAAACACTGCAGGCCCTCAGTTGTTCACTCAGTACTGATTACAGCGTCAGAACATCCATTATCTACACCACTTATTCCTGAAGAGGGTTGCAGAGATGCTGGAGCCAATCCCAGCTGACATTGCGCGAGAGGCAGGGTCCACCCTGGACAGGTTGCCAGTCTGTCACAGACATGACATGTAGACAAACAACCACACACACTCACTCCTACAGGCAGTTTAGAGTCACCAGTCAACCTAAGCTGCATGTCTTTGGACTGTGGGAGGAAACCGGAGAGAACCCGCACAGGGAGAACATGCAGACGCCACACAGAAAGGTCCAGGGTGGGCCAGGCTCGAACCCAGAACCTTCATGCTGTATGGCGACAGCACTAACCACCAGCGCTAATTTTAATTAACTCTTCAAATTAAAAAAGCAGCTCCAACGTGTTCTATGCAGCGAGAAGCTAGCAGTGTAACCAGAGCATCAGCTGCGTCCTTTAAACTCATCACCTTCAGACTAGAATGACAGTAAATGGACAGATTTCTTACATGTCTCTATGCATCTTGCCAGGCCCAGCCCCAGGGGAGGAGCTACAGTCTCTGAGGAGCCAGGTGTTGCTGGTTCACAGTCAGCTTCAGTACGAACGCTTCAAACGGCAGCAGCACGCCGTCAGAAACCGCCGTCTACTGCGGAGAGTCATCAACGCCACGGCACTGGAGGAGGACAGTATCGCCATGGTAACATGCATGCCAACACTGTCTGAGCACAGTGTCGTGAACTGACACCGGCTGCTACAGTGAGCGTACATGTGTCTCCGCAGCTGTGTATTCCTGTGCACTGTGTGTTGCAGAAGGCCCAGCTGGCTGTTCAGAACGATGAGATCCAGTCCCTGAAGTTGAGTCTGGAGGAAGAACAAAGACGCTACACACAGCTGCAGCAGGACACACAGACACACACCAACCAGCTGTGCACGCACATCCAACAACTGCTGCTGCAACAACAGGACGAGCAGAGAGGTCACCAGAGACTGCAGGTATATGTGTGTACACAATACTGCACACAGTGCGTACCAGTCCAAAGGTTAGACGTCACCTTCATGTTTCCAGCTGGGGAATGCAACAGGTAAACACCCCTGTGTGATTCTCTCTGCAGCTGAAACCAGACACTGTTGGGACAGACAGCACTGTCGGCCACTCTGCTTTCACTGTGCTGCCAGTCCGTCACTGTTCTGTCGTCGTCCACAGCCTGGAGCCATTTGTGGCTGCTTCTCCTGCTACAGGGGTGAAACCCTGAGAAGCTCTGGCTTCCTGTGTTCATAGTCTTTTTCCAGATGAGGCTTCAGAGGAGGCAGTAACATAGTCTGATCCAACACTACCTCTGGACAGAGAGAATCTGTTGTTGTCAGTCACCAGTCATCAGTTTTCTAGGCTTCTTTTAGTTCACTGCTACAGAAAAGATGGAAGTTCACCTGCTACTGGATCCTGAAAAAGGCCTTGTTGTATATGACATTTACACAGTTTCAGTTTCTGGGGACCTTTGTTTTTCCCCTCTGGCAGGTTACCTCTGAGCGTTGTACCATTTAAGGTCATTCACGACTCGAGCTGCTGACACGTCAGTAACTGGATCAACGGAGGTGATCTGAAACGTCTGACCAGTAGTGCACAGGGCTCTGCAGAAACTCGGCAAGAAGCATTCTGCTCATTAACATCTCTTGTCATGATTGGTTGTTTTAGAGTGAGCTTCAGGAGTGTCAGAGACGGCTGAAGGATCTGGAGGCAGAACTTCAAAGAGCCAATAACAAGGCTTATAGTGCAGAACACCGGCTGGCCCAGCTGTTACTCAAGGTGAGGAGGCCTCCCATTGGCTAATGTGATTATTCTCATAATTCTTTCTATGTACAGTGTTGAAGAGTAAATTATTGTCTGCTAATGATGCAATAGCCAGGCTGACCGGAGCTGAATAATGGTGCCTATGAGCGAGGTTTCCTCCTCAGCAGAGGCAGTAAACACAACATACAGACCTGCTGGTGTCTCTGCTGTATTCAGAGCTGAACCAGAGCTTCAGTGGTGACGAAAAGTAACGTCAACATGATAAACAGCATGGCTACGGCTACGTGCTGACACTCTTCTCGTAGCAGAGCTGCTAGTTCAGCTCTAGCACAGGTGTCTACCCTGTGACTCTCATAGGGACAGAAACATGCTGTAGAGACTGTCTGAGCTCCACCAGACTCCCTGAGTCTCCTGCAGAGAACAGGAAGGTTGTGGGTGTTGGCTCAGATACACTGAATACTGCACTGGGCATGCTCAGTCCCTCGTGACCTCTGACCCTCCATCACACATTGCAGAAGCTCACTGAGATCTCCTACAGTTGCTGCACTTGAAGCCTGCACTTGCAATCCCCTTTGCAGTGTTTCTTGTTTTGCATGTTCTAGTTTTCTGGATTTGCCGTACGTTTCCTTTAACGTTTGTGGTTTTACCCTTGTGTGTGCTTTGTCCCCAGAGTCAGTGTAAAATCCACCAGCCTTGAACCTGACAAAGATCAACAGAAACAAACTTTTGGATTCTGATTCTTTCACTTGGATACAAATATATATATAAGACTTTTGTACTGGTCTGGAAGCACAGACTTCTTGTCCTGTGTACAAGAGCAGCAATAGTATTGACCCAGCTATTACAGAGGCATTGGTTACACAGTGGGAAATATCCACTGTAGCATTAATAATACTGTGGATGATATTTTAGTGTTTGTTCCCTGTGTGCAGCTGTGCAGCAGT